TTATTAAGTGTGGCCGTTTCCCTTACCTCAACTATTAGGAACCAGACTTTAACCCGAGAGTCATTGTATATATTGGACCTATTTACACACATTATAAAAGCTGGTGGTGCCATAACAAAGTTCATATCTGCTACCAATAAACTATTACCTTCCTCCTCTCATGCTGAGAACTACGGTCTGGATAAGACTTGGAGTGATGTATTCCAGAGCTCTAGATCAGGACTATAATACGTATCATCTCTGGTTGATAACAATGAGCCCAAAGGATGTCAAAGTGAATGCCTCGTAAAACAGGACGAAGGAGAAAAGACGGACTGAAGATTCTAATTGTCCTTAAAGACGTCAAAAAAGCTCCGGTTCTTTGGAAAGGGAGACATCATCCAGTCGTCACCAGAGGAAATGCTTCTCTTATTTCGACAAAATGCTAATAAAACACAACATTTCCCATTCACTATTTCAGTCAGAATATGAATGCAATGAAGGCAAATGTATTCTGTGCTATTTCATGTCGCAAGCGTTGAAAACGGCCCTGAGGAGGTCTTTGAAGGCAGCACGAGAATCATCTTAATTATGCCTTTTGGTGAATATTCCACACATTAATTCCCCTTTGTTTTGTGTATGGAAATGTCCTCATGAATCTTGCGTTTGGATGAAGCTGTCACTTCCCTCTGCTCTAATTCATCTCCATCCCAGATTAATTATGGACATTTCGGGAAATTTGTCAGGAGTTCTGTAACATTTCTGCAAAAGTCTCTGAAGATGGGAGGAAATGTTTTCATTAATGCTCCCTCGTGTTCGTGCATATCAACTATTCTCATTATTTTAACTGAATAATATTATGTAACGTTAATTTATAAAGAGCTGTTTTTTACTTAATTGATCAAAAGTTCTAAAAACAAGAAATCACAACCGTGTTCATATACTGAAATTGAACTGAGGGAATTATAAACAGAAATCAGAGAAAAATATATAATAATACTAATATAAAAATAAACTATAGAACATAATGTTTTAACCTGTTCCACTCTGAGCCTGTTTTTCAGGTCTCAGGCTCGAAAATGACATTCCCAGAACAAATGACCATATCTTCCCTTCTAAAAGGGTTAAATTAATAATCTTTTCTCAAAGTAATGATAAACCTGTGAGTTGGATGTAGAAGTGTCAGAATCAATATAAATGTTTTTTATTTTAAAGAAAATTCAGATTTTACATAGTAAAAAACTGTAAATTATAGTGTCCGTCCAAAAATTATTTTTTACAGATAGTGAAAACTACCCTTGGATGATGGGTTAGTAGACTAAAAGCTTTAGGAATCCAAAGTACAACATATAATAAGTACCCTGTATCAAGATTGATGCAAAACAAGTGAAATTTGACCTTTTTAGAGAGATTTAGCCAAAAACTGGGCCATCTGGGGTCATATGGGTGGATTTGACCTATCTCTGGCCCCCCTTGCTCGATCTGGTTGGTTGACATACCCTTGTGACCGTTAGAGCCAATAGAATCGAAGGAGGAGGCTCCCACCCAGACAGGTTGTAAAGAAAAAATGTTGCCGCTTCGCGTGTGGAAAGCGAAACTAAACTGGAGGAATGTCTCCTTCTGGAGTTTGGAAACTAAAACGCAGTTGTATTGCTTATGGATTATCAGAAATAATTTCAAAGAAGGCACAGACACATAGGATGAACCTATGGATTAACTGCAGCATCGTTTTTTTATCGTTTTAATGCCATTGAAGACCACTTTTGACCAAGGTGAGCCATATTTACATGTTTAGCTTCTTTGCTCCACATGTGATGATGTACGCTTTCGTTGATAGCGTCGCGAATGTTTATCACTGAGTGTTGAGGTGGGCACCGTTAGATTCAGTGTCTCCAGGACACCAAAAAAGAGTGTTTGGTTGTGCATCTAGGATAAGTAATAAGGGAGTTATGAGTGAGTTTAAGTGCCTTAGTAGGTCCCGTTTTTTCGATCGAGGCTAATCCAGAGGCTGAGTGCTAGCATTGTGGGGTTTTTTTGAAAAAAAAAATTAAAAAGATCAGTTAGCTGAGTTTCTTCCCGTTACATGGATATAACACATTCATAGTTTTATTCAATATTAAGATTCCTTAGACGTTGTTTCCTGCAAATGACGCGTTTATCCGCCCGGTACCGGGGGGAAGGCGTGAAACAGGTTAATTGTTAAAAAACATTTAAAAAAAATACTAATAAATAAAAAGAACGTGTGAAATCAGCAATTAGGTTGCAGAAATATTTCTAAAGTTGATGGGCTTTCTTTATTATTAATGTCATTGAAAAAGACCAAAAATACTGAAGACATTTGTGCATGAAATATTTACCAAATATAATCAATTTTCTTTCCAAATCCAGGTTTTTCGTTCACAAATCGAAGGTCATGTTTTATTTTATCATATGCAGGGTTTTTTTGTTACATGGATGTGCTGTGAAGCGATAATTATCCGACCATAAAGTCAGATTGTTCTGCAGCTCTCAGCATTTCAGGTTGTGCTGCACAGCAACACATCGAGCACAACGAGCAGATCGATGGAGCAGCAGCCTGAGAATAAAAGTCTCTCCACATGAAGCTCCTCTCACATGAATCAAACACAATCCCCAGGAGCTCAGCGGGCCCCAGGAGTCCCCTGATCACCCTGACTCTGGACACTCAGAGTCCTGCACCCCGGGGCCCAGAAACAGCCTGAGAGGCCCTGAGAAGCTCTGATCTATGGAGGGGGGAGGATGTCAGAGAGGCATGTCACTTTGATTCAACGCCTGCAGACCAACGTGTGAGATGCAAGCTGTGAAATAAACAAATCAATATTTCTGAGCGCTGCACACAGCCTCCCTCTCCTCCCAGAGGCCTGGATTACACGCATGGGACAAAAGGAAGTCATACAATACATGACTGTGATGCTGATTGTACTAAAGTACAGTATGTTAGGGCAACGCTGCCAAATATGCCCCAATCTGTTCTAGTGCGGTTTTGTGCACGGATGAAAAGGCTGCAGAACATTTACATAAAACATATCTGCTGCTCTGAGGTGCTTACTACCAAACTGAAGGCTCCAGAAGGAAATATATCTCCAGTTATGGCTGCACAATATATCGTTTCAGCATCAAAATTGCAATGTGTTCATGAACCATTCATTATAATCGCAGTACGGCAATGTCAAACATAACACTTTTACTTTTTGCTGCACGATACAAAAGGAGTTCCTTTCCCATAAATGGGGTGAAGCCTGCGAGCTAGTTCAGGCAGTCAACTCGAGCACTTATGCTGCATTCATACATAACGCCCCTTGCCACTCTACAACCAACCAAACAGAGTCTCCTTAATATGCCGCTCTATTTAACCTGCCAGATCTCTCTCTATGCATTGCTTGCTGCTGCTATCGCTGCAGCTACTTCCACGTCGCTGCTGCTTGCCTGCCCCACCACCACCCCAGCTTCCACCTGTAGGCTCGGGGGGTTAGTTATCTAATCATCACTCATCGTGCTATGTATATCTGTGGAGTGATGAGGCCCGAGCCTAGACGCCAAACTCAACTATATGCTGCTTCTAATAAACATGTTAAAGAAACACGTGAGTTGTCTGACTGAACTAATCTATGTGTAAAGTCTTTCTGAAATAAAGCGATGTATTCTGATTTAAGGCTTCTTAGTGACACAGAGTTTGTTACAACAGAGTGTCGTGCTTGCAAGTCTCTGCATGCGAAGAGAAACCATCAATTACTATAATTCCTTTAAATTCATCAAAACAACCACAAGGAAAGCGATAGTCAGTCGACAACACACAATCTGAAAACGAGCGTATAAAAGATGGGAAATACCCAAAAGGTTGCAAAAAGAAATGAAATGTCAGGAAATATTTTGGACACAAAAGAAGAACGATGTCCAAAAATACGATGTGACCAAAACAGATCCATATTCGTCATCTTGTGAAAATGGACTGTTTTTTTCACATTGCATGCAATATACAGTATATCGCAATAAAAAACATCTTTCATTATGACACAGTCTAACCTAGTATTCTGACATGTACTGATAATACCGTGCCATAGTCGGAAGTAATTGCAAGTAAAAGGAGAAAGATTGCAAAAAACGAAGATTTGGTTGCAAAAAGAACACAACTTCAGTAAATATTGCCATGTATTATAACACAGTTTAACCTGAAAGACTGTCATATACTGATAATAAAGTTTGCCTGTTGAAGTATTCTGTCTCCTTTTGTCATACTGCTCTTATTCTTCCATGCTGCTCTCCTTCAATGGAACCAGACACCACACAGAAAAGATAAAGAAGCAGCAAAGATCTGACGTTCAAACAAAACAGAAGCAGCAGGGATCAGAGAGGCGAGGAGGTGTAAACTTAAGGACTTCCTGTTTTCACAGTCGTGTGACGGATCCCAGAGTTGAATCCCCCATAGCATCACACACACACACACATACACACACACATACACACCTGAGCGAAACTCTCTTGACACGGGGATGTAAAGAGCAGATGAGAGGGTACGCCGTCTCAGCGTGTCAAGAAAGAAGCGTTTTGTATTCACAGTGATGAGTGCAAACAGCACATGAAAAGGTAACCGGAGTACGATCTAAATTAAATGATGTCAAGAGGCAAAGAAGACGAAGTTGTTGTGACAAAAGCAAACGCTGAATGAGACGCGTGTCAGGAGGAAGGCTGTACAGCTTTGAAGGGAGCTGTCAAATCTTATATACAATGTTTCTTCAGGTGTAATATGGAGGATAGAAGCAGCCAGAATTCAAAAAATGTATAACTAGACAAATATGTATATAATCTGCCATTACATGTACCAAAAGTAATTTTAAAAAAAGATAACATTTGGGTTTAGTAGTATAGTTGATGCAAAGACATGAATACAAGTTGACAAATTCAGATTTAAAAATTCAGCAATAATAAACCACGAACAACACATGAATAAAAACCCAACGCTGCACAACCATGACACAAAATAATAAATAAAAAAGCAGTCTTACCAGGTCTCGTCGTTTTTGAACTCCAGCTCTCCGTAGTTGTCCTCGAAGTCCTCCCCTCCTCCCTTGGCGATCGCCTCCACGGTGCGAAACGGCACAATGACCGTGCCCCTCGCTCCGGAAGTCCTCAGCACCTTCACCTCCATGATGCCGATGCTCTCGCTGATGTGCACCGAGCCGCTCTCGAAGGTGAAGATGCCCGAGTGGTCGTCGTCCAAGATGGTGACGGTGGCCACGGCGGGGAATCCCAGCATGGCCTTCGGGTACGGGAGGCTGTTGGGCGACAGCACCTCGTCCTCCGTCTCCAGGACGCGCAGATTCCCCAGCCGCACGAAAAAGTGCTCGTCCTCCTCGAAGATGTCATCGTCTATGATGCCGATGTTGATCTCCCTGAACATCTCGCCTGGTTTGAACACCACCGTGCCCTCGGAGAACTCGTAGTCGGCCCCAGCGTTGGCCGATCCGTCCTCCGTCTTGTAATCCACGTAGATTGTCTTGTTGATGTCGCCGCCCCTTCTGGTGACGGTTAATATCGCAGCGCCGCAGTTCTCGAGGCACTGGTAGACGGCGGGGTCGAAGGTGATCCTGGACACGTATTCCTCCGGTTCCTCCACGTGAATCTCCTGAATGCTGACGCTCTTCTTGGCCTGCTCCGCCACGTGTTTCTTCAGGATGTTTCCGGCGCCCGTCATCATGCGGGTGGCCTGGATGCGGTAGAAGGCGCGGCTCTTCTGCTGGTGCGACAGGGCGTAGTAGTTGGCCATCTCCACCAGCTGATCCAGCTCTTTCTCCGGGTACTTCTGCTTCAGATCCTTCAGGATTCGGATCATGTCTCGCCGGGATTCGTCCACCTCTTTGTTCTCGATCAACCCGATGAGATTGCTGGTGGCGCTTCCGTCCATGAAGTGCGAGTTCACCATCTTGCCGTCCATCTCGATGCCCTTCGAGCGCTCCCCCTCCGTCTCGATGATGACCCCCCGGTGTTTGTCGTGGCGGTACTTCTTGTGCATGAACTTGAAGAAGAGCAGTCTTCTGTCCGCTATCCAAGCCAGGAAAACGCATATGGGGAAGAAGGCCAGCGTAAGCAGACCCTCCCACACCTGGACTTCATTCGGGGAAAACACAGCCAGGATCATGTAGAGCCAGATGTAGGCGAACACGCTCCATCCCGCCGTGACGAAAAAAACTCGCAGGTGTTTGACCTTACGCACCTCTCCTTGGGGAACCACAGACACGCAGATGCCGATAATCACGAACATATTGAAGGCTGCGCTGCCCACAATAGTAGCCGGCCCGAGTTCTCCAGATACAAACCCGTGTCCACAGACCTCGATTAACGTGAGCAGGATCTCAGGGGTCGAGGATCCTAAGGCCATGAGGGTGAGGTTGGACACGGTTTCGTTCCACACCCGGATCGTGGTGGTGGTCGTTTCCCCGTTGGGCTTCTTGATGACCAGTTCCTTCTCCTGTGAAGTGATGACCTCGATGGCGGCCATGAAGCGATCAGAGATGATTGACACCCCGAGGAACATGTAGATCATGGCCACGAAATACACAATGACCCGGGCGATCTTGTCCCCCATGGAGGGGTCCTCGGGGTACCAGATGGGCAAGATGATCCCCGCTCTGCATTTGGAGTTCCCCGAGCAGGTGGCATTGCTGGGGGTGATTAAGGGGCTTGGGGTGGTGCGAGCCTCCGTGCACAGGAAGGCGACGGCAGCAGAGAGCAGCCACACCCAGAGGCAGGCTGTCGACCCCGGTTTCACGGATCCTGAACCCTCCATAAACCCTCCGTCGTCTCAAGGGTCCTTACCAGGCTGACAGACCCCCCGGGATCCAGCACTGGGCTGTGCTTCGTCTCCACCCACCACCTGAAAGCAGAGACAACACACATTACATGGATGTTGTCGGGAAAATACTGAATGTACTCTTCCAATATCAGAGTAGCACATGATAACAAAGGCCCTACATAGCTGTGTACATGACAGGATGTATGATTACCTAGAAGAGCATCAGGACTGTTTTAGGCATATGATAGCTATGTGATTAACATGATGATTCAGCCTCCATGGAGATAGACATATGACAAGCATGATCATTTCTGACGTGGAGCTAATCTGAAGTAAACATTGAATACTGCTTTCTATTCCTCCATCTTGTGACTGTGTAACTCCCTCTCTTGGATATCAGCATGTGAAGGACACTGTTCAGGAACTAGTTGATGCTCTGTGTGTGATGACTACTTCCATTCTGGAGAGGATCAGAAATACATGGATCCTAATTATTGAAGCTCAAGCCGGTGACGAGTGATATTTTTCTAACAGATGTCAAAATATATATTTATCAAAAAACACAAAGAGGTTACTCTCATATTGAGCTGCAAAGGCCTAAATGTCTATTTTGATATTTAATTTTTCCGTGCAAAAATATTGTTAAATTACATTTCAACCTCTTAAATGAGACGTTTTGCTGCTCTCTGTTTTAAATCACATTAAAGTGAATATTTGTAGGTTTTGGACTGACAAAACAAGACATTAAAAGGCATCACCTTGGACTCTGAAAACGGACATTGGCCGACATTTTTCAATTGATGAATCTAAGAAAACATGCAGACTAACCAAATCAACCCGAGCAACAGAGGGTTATATTTTATGAAGACATATTATTTTATAATATTTTAGTACTGTATAGAACAGGGTCTGAACATCAGCACTTTTACATGTTTTGAAAGAATTAATAGACCACTAATGGCGCATTTCCACTGCAGGGCCTCGCACGGCTTAGTACGGTATAGTTAGGCCTTGGTAGGCCAGGCTCACTTTATGCTGCGTTTCCATTACAGTTTAGGAACTGAGGCAGTAACTATAGTAACGCAGTGTAGGCGGAGCCGTGACGTCATCTTCAATGCGAACCACAAAACCAACATCAGCCGTTAGCTGTTAGCCCTCAGAGCTCACAGCTCCTCATATCTGTTCAGAAACTAGACAAAAGTTAAACAAGTACAAACCACAGACTGCCTGTGTCATGGTGAATACAGTCGCTGGTTTATTTATGTCTGTAGGCCGTTGTTGTGAGTGTGGACGGTCGGAGCATATACAACGTTAGCTTAGCCGATCTCCATTCAGAAAACACGCATTTTAAAAGGTTTTTCGCCTGCCGTCTGTCTGCAGACTTGACAAAGCATTAATTCATGGTTTTTACTAACCGGTATCAGTATGTTGTTACTTCGGCATCATTTTGAAACGTGTATTACAATTAAATCACGGTCAGATATGTTCATTTTGTTGTAGTTGTAGCCCCCTTGCCAGCGATTCTCTCACTAGTTTAGCATACTCAGCCCGGTTGTTGGCCCGGAAAGAACCACGATTTTGGAGGGCCAGAAAAACTGTGAAAAAGCACCCGTTAGCCGGAAATACGGCTAGTGGAAACGCAACAAAAAACGGGCCGGGTTTGGCACGCTTAAAACGTGCTACGTGCTGCAGTGGAAATGCGCCATAAAAGAGCTCTTAAGAGGCCAAATTACCAAAACCATAGGTCCTTTTTCTGACATTTTTAAACAAACACCGTATCTATGAATCTAGCAAATAATCTGAAATCGATTGAGACACACAACTTTAACATTTAATACAAATAATAAAATTGCATTACATTGACTTGACTCTTTTGCTCAGTGAATAATTACCACAGTTTCTTAATGAATAACTAATTGAACATAATTATTTAATGAATTAAATCACGTAGTAAAAGTGTGTAACAACACATTATGTAATATAACATCCGGTTATTAAACAACAAATTGTAGTACATTTTTTTCATTATGTAATAACACCTGAGGCTTGAATGCATTTTGTAATAAAAATGCAGGAGTTTCCTTTTTGTTTTTTTAATGAAGATTTTATAATAGATGCATTACGTAATAACCAACCAAAAATGCCACTCATTTTGGTTGGTTATTACATGTTTTCCTGTGTACACGGTATATTTTTAGAAGAAGGAAAATGACTTTTTTGTCTAGGTGCAATAAAACAAAGTTAGTTGAAGCGGGAGGAAACCAACAGCCCTCCCATGAGTGGTATACATTACATAGTTTTGTGTCAAAGACAAACTTTATGATAAAAAAAGAAAATGCCAATAAATATGAAATACAAACATTGTAATTAAAATGATTTCTAGTCTCAAGGTGAGCATTTAACAAAGTAATGTACAGGTGCTGAAATAATTAATAAAATATGGGAACAGAAAAAGAAAGAGAAAAGGAATGGCATAGTATACAGATCGAATTACAATCTACTATAACCCTATATTAACATTTCTTAAGATTAGCCAAAGATCATGAAAGACTGTTTTTCGGTATTTTACTGAAATTGGTTAACTGACCAATTCATGTCAATATTAGATTTGGGGATTAACATACATTTTTTAATCTGTAAATCAATTATTTTGATTTAAATTCTTGTTGAGTGACTTGAGAGACTCTGGTTTACTGTAGATGTGACGACGAGTGTCCAGTAATGTGTATGTGTGCGTGATGTGTGTGAGATCTCGGGGGTCACACACACTCTGGAGCAAAGCGCTCGCTCAGCAGGTGTGACATTTTGCCAAACTAAGCACTGTCCAAAATGTCGCATTGGCAGAAAAAATACACCGAGCAGAGGGGAGGCAGGAGACCGTCAGGAGGCGAAGTGAAACAGTGAAACAAAGGTACAGATGTCCCGTCCAAATTCATTACACACTGAGCTCTAAATGCACCCTTACCACTTCTGCAAGAGAGAGCAGCATCACACTAACAATGCAGACGTTGTCAAAATGCATAACGGCTGGAGTTAAGCATCGTATGCACATCATGAGAGAGACGGTTCTTTAGATGCAAACAGCTGAGGCCGGAGGCAGCGAGAGCATCATCACACTTATCAGATGTGAGCTGCTTTAAAAAGGGTTTATTCTAAAGGCTATCTTCTCCGTGGTACCTGGGATTATGGGTTATTTATAAGCACAATACAATAATTAAATGTGCGAGAAAATACAGGGGCATGTAAACGTGTCGAGGAATTTGCCTTGGTGTACTGGTGCATACATAAACACCGTTAAAGAAGATACATTGTCGGAGAAACAACCAAACAATGCAATTAAAACAATTATACAATTTAGGAAGGAAGCTAGGCAGCATCCTAGAGAACCCCTCCCACCCACTCCATGCAGAGCTAGTAAGGATGAGGTGTACGTTCAGCCACAGACTCATCCCTCCACGACACAGCACCAAGCGCCTCGGACAGTCCTTTGTGCCTGTAGCCATCAGGCTGCACAACAAGGGGTCAATAATGTGAAACTATTACTAGACATAAATACACACTGTTTCCACAACCCATGTTAATATATCCAATATATATAATATGTAATATATGACTCTATATGTATATATGTCCATTTTCATTTTCATTCATTTCTTACCTATAGTTTATATGACCAAAAATGGGGTGAGGCCTGCGAGCTAGTTCAGGCAGTCAACTCGAGCACTTATGCTGCATTCATACATAACGCCCCTTGCCACTCTACAACCAACCAAACAGAGTCTCCTTAATATGCCGCTCTATTTAACCTGCCAGATCTCTCTCTATGCATTGCTTGCTGCTGCTATCGCTGCAGCTACTTCCACGTCGCTGCTGCTTGCTGCCCCACCACCACCCCAGCTTCCACCTGTAGGCTCGGGGGGTTAGTTATTTAATCATCACTCATCGTGCTATGTATATCTGTGGAGTGATGAGGCCCGAGCCTAGACGACAAACTCAACTATATGCTGCTTCTAATAAACATGTTAAAGAAACACGTGAGTTGTCTGACTGAAATGTATATATGCTCATTTTAATTTTAATTGTATTCATTTCTTATTTCATAGTTTCTCATTATTATAATTTTAATTTTTATCGCTGATCTTATTTTTGATTTTATTAATCTGTGTGAATCTGTGCTGTCCTGTTTTTCACTCTCACCCTGTTGCTGTTTAAACTACTGAATTTCCCCACGGGGATTAATAAAGGTCCATCTTATCTTATCTTATCTTACCTGTAGGCTACTATAAATACAAAAATAAGATATGTGCATTGTTGTTATTGAAAGTGGATAGGTGTGTAGATACTAAGAGAGGTAGCTTGTGTGTACAAGTGTGAAACATATTTGGAGGGTTGTGCAGAACTGGCAATGCTTAAAGGGGACCTATCATGCAAAATGCACTTTTGTACGTCTTTTATACATGAATATGTGTCCCCGGTGTTCCAGGGAATTCACCAAGTGTCAGAAAACACAACCCTCTCTATTTTCCTCCATACCCAAATCTCTAAAAAAGGGGCTGCAACGGATCTGATCAAAACTGATCCAGATTTGAACACTGTCCTGACGTCAGGACGGAGGCGCTACGGCTATTGGGCCAACTCCACCAATCAGGAGGAGACAGCCACGGCCATTGCCGTTCGAAAGCGCTGGAGACGCTGTAGTACATATGCCAGGCCTGTAGATGGTGCTGTTCTCACAGAATCTGCCCTTGCAAAAACAGAGCAACATTTTTTCAAATTGAGCGAAATGAGGCATGGCTAAAATGCATGATCTGTTTGGTATTTTGAAAAAAATAAAAGTATAAATATGCCTTATATAGGTATGGTCCTACACTATATTATTCAAATATAGCATGATAGGTCCACTTTAAATAAAATAAATAAAAACAAGATATTGTTTGCACTAATGTAATGCACACAGTCTATACAAGTGGCTGAAAGCAATTGTCAGTGGGGGTCCGGGCCTTGTTGATGAGGCCCTCACAATTTTTCTGTCCATCTGACAAATGCAATTATATCTCTTCTTTTGGTAACTTTGGTTAAAT